GGAAGAAGAAACCGACGTCGAAGTAGTCGAGGATAACGCTAACTTCGAGGAAGAAGAAAAAGAGGAAGCTACTAGATTAGATAATCTAGACGAAGAAGGAGACTATAGGAAAGCGGTAGAACTAGAATACGCCTACCTACCTACGCCTCCTCTTACGGAATAAGAAGAAGATCTAGAAGCAGCTTTCTCTATTAGTCTTCCCGTCTCGACCCCTAAGGGGGTAGGAAAGGCACCTCTCTTAAAGGATTACCCGGCTGCCTTTTTATCCCTACTTTAAGAAGCAAAGGAAGGTATAGGGCCCGATACGGATACGAAAGAAGACTAACCTCTCCCCTATTTCGATTATTTTTCCGACTTCTACCTAACGCCTATAGAAGACGGTTCCCACGGAGCGTTCATAGCAGGCCGGCTCTTTAAGCCATAGCTATTAGCAAGGAAGGTATATAAAAGAGACCTCCCGGACCTACTAGTAAACTAGAAGCAGCTAGAAAAACACCCCTTTAGAGACTAGTTTTTCTAGGCCTAGAAAGACCACCTAGCCTTATATAAAGAGATAGGGTCTTTCGAAGAGGTCCTTAAGGAAAAAGCAAGAGGAAAATAGGTCCTTAGCTATAAATAGGTCTTTATCTATAAGACTAATAAACACGGCTTCCTTTAAAAATATAAAGCCCGGCTAGTTATCTATAGGAATTAATAGGAAAAAGGGGATCTACCTACTAAGGCAACCACCCTAGCAGGGATGTCTTTTCGGACCCTTATAGCTATAGTAGTAGAATTCGACCTCGAGCTCGAATAGATAGATATAGTTAACGCCTTTATTAACTGCCTACTTAAGGAAGAAGAAGTTATCTATATACGCCTTCTACTAGGTTTCTAATAGCTAGGAAAGGTTCTACGGCTTAAGAAAGCTCTATATAGACTACGAAGATTACCCCTTCTTTAGCAATAGCATTTAATAGGTTCCCTTAAAGCCTTAGGCTTTAAGAAAGTCCCTTAGGAACTATATATAATATAGAAGGGTAAAATCATAGTCTTCTTCTACGTTAACGATATTATCTAGGCCTACCTAAAAGAGGAAGAAGCTGCTACTAGGGAGGCTATATAAGGCCTATAATAAAGGTATAAGATAACTAGGCTAGGGGAGCTAAAGTGGTTCCTAGGGATACGAATCCTTCGGAATAGGTCCTAACGGACTATCTAGCTTACCTAGGACGCCTATATCGATAAGGTCGCTTATAAATTCCTCCCTAATTCCCTTAATAAGAAGCTTCCCTCTACGCCTATATTAGACGAAGAGCTTTTGCTTAATCCGTCCTTTTAAGCTAGGGAGTAAGAGAAACACTAATATTAATAGAAGGTAGGCTCCCTGCTTTTTTTAGCTATTTTTACTAGACCGGATATCTCTTTTACGGTCTCCCGGCTAGCTAGGCATAACTAGAATCCTAGCCCTAGGCATTAAGAAGTAGTAGATAGAGCTATCCTTTATTTCTATTTAACGAGATTATATAGTTTGCGCCTAGGAGGGTAGGGAAGGAAATAAGCTACCGAAATCTTCCTTTATTTAAGCGATTCGTCCTTTACGGATAATTCCTTAGATAGAAAGAGCTTATAAGGGTATATTATATCCCTTTTTAGAGGAACTATTATATAGAAAGCTTCGAAGTAAGCTACCGTTACTATATTAAGTATAGAGGTAGAGCTACTAGCTCTTTTAGAAGTATTAAAAGAAGCGATTTTCCTTAGCCGGCTACTAATATCTCTACGACTATAAATCCCGACCCCGTTAGCTATAGAATACGATAATACGTAGACTATATATATTCTTACGGAGGAAAATAGTAAGCTATCGACCCGGCTATAGTATATTAATATCTATTAGTATTAGTTACGCTAAGAGGTCTAAAGGGGACTTATTTCTATCCGTTAGGTTCTAATAGTATTAATAAAAGCCGACGGTCTTACGAAGCCCCTACCGAAGTAGAAGCTAGCTGTCTTTTTATAGCAAATTAGGCTAAAAGACGTTCGAGAGAAGCTATCCTTAGAAGCCCGCCTTAAGAGTCTACGAGAGGAGCTAATAGCACGTAGGAGGAAGGAGACGTCTATAGCCGAAGAGAGGAATTAGGACTTATCTTAAAGGAGGGCCCCTAGCTTAATTAGGACTTATTCTTCTTAAAGGCCCCCTTTTTAGGGACATATCCTTAGAGAAGCCCCCCTTTCGTATAGGACTTAATTTCCTCCTTAGGCCCCTTTTTCTTAAAGTAGGTCTAAAAGAGCCTAGGGCTAATATTACGACCACGGTTAGCGGGCCGTAAGAGAGCCGGCTACGTTTACGTAATAAGGCGGCTTAGAATAATAGTCGGGACGAGAAGTTACTTAGGCTTAGCTTACTTAGAGCGTATATAAGCTAAGTAAGCCTTATATAGATAGATTACTACTTAGGAGCATAGCTTACGAGTAAGCTATAGTAAGCTATAAAGGGGATCACGGCTAGGACCGTAATCTAAGGATAGTCTCTATAGGTATATATAGCTACCTACTTTTACTCCTTTAGATAGATAGCTCTCTAGCTTTTAATATAGATCTTTATTACGATTCTATCTCTAATTCTAATTACCTAGTTATAATCTACGGTCTACGACCTCTAACTTATTACTAATATAATATACTTATTATTACTTAGACCACGCCCTATTATATCTACTAATATAAACCCCTCGATAGGTTTATCCCTTAGGAATAATACTAGTCGTTATAGCTAAAACCCGGATTTCTTAAGTAAGGGATAAGTATAAACTAAGACCTCCTCTATACGCTTACTAGCCTAAAGCTATATTTAGCTTTACCCTTTCTATAAGGGCAGGCTATAGCTAAGGGGGTATATCGTAAAGCGTAGCTTAATTTCGTAGTTCTCGGAGATATCTCTTAGTACGAGGGACCTAGGAAGCTAAAAAATAGGTTTTAAAGAAGGAGCTAAAAAGAGGTATAGAGAAGAGGGTAGGGGTATAAGGGGAAGTAAAAGTAGCGATAGCTTCCTATAGAGGTAGCGAGAGATAAGACGGATATACCGGTAACGGCTAGAAAGGAAGGGAAAAACTAGTAAAAAGCTCGGTAGTTAAAGGGATATTAGTAGCTTCTTTAAGTAAGATCTTCTTTATTAATTAAGATACTAAACGGGTATAAAGAGGGGCGTTAGATAGAGGAAAGAAGAAAAATAAAGGCAATATAATAATTACTCCCCTACCTTTACTACTACTCCCGCGAGAATTAAATCTCTCTGCCCTGCCTATCCGACCCCTTACTTTTAATTTTACCTTTATATATTTTTATATACTTCTTATATCTCTCTTTATAAGAAGTTTAGTTCTATACTTTAATAGGGTTTCGAAAGTACTTATCCCTTAAACCTAACTAAGAAAGCGTCGTATTATACCTTTATTTAGAAGTATATTATATAATCTAGGTAAACGTATAATATCTATAAAATATACTTATAGTACTTATAAGTAAGTAGTATTTATAAATTATCTTTAAATTCTCCTTATAGTTACTATTCTTATTATAAAGCTATAAAGGTATCGATATAGCAATAGCTATAGTATAGTCTCTTTTATATAGTACTAGTTAATATTAAATTAATATAGCTTATTAGTTTTCTATAAGAATTTAAGGTATTTATTAGGTTTTAAATTTAAGTATTTCTTTAAAGTCTTTAAAGTATAGAGCGTATTCTCTAATTATAGTATTTTCCCTTAATATTAAGGGTAGTAGTATAAGTTTATTCTTATCTTTTATTTCTCTAGGTATTTTTTATTCTTTAAAGCTTATATTATCGATACTTTATTATTCCTCTTTAGGTTATTATCCGAGTTTTATAAGTATAAGGGCTACGTTTATATCTTCTTTATTATATTATTTATAGACTACCTATTATTATTATCGATTTTTATTTTATATATCTTCCTAGAATTATTTACCGTTCTTCTTAATCTAGTCTTAAGAGACTTCTTTAAGATAAGGGTATTTTAGTTCTATAAATTTAACTTATTTCTATATTTTAAGATCCCTTTATTATATTATTATAAGGGTTTTCCTTAGTAGCTTTATAAACTATCTAGTACTGTTCTTATCGCTTAAGTATACTATATATTTATCGTTATAGTATATAGTCTAACTAAGGAGTTTATACTTTAGTTCCTATCTATTAATAGCGTTTAAGTATTTCTTACCTTTTAGGGCTAGTGCTTAGTAGGTTTTCTTCTCTTTATAAAGTTATCTATATTCTTTAAAGTAATATCTACGTTTCCTATAGTTAAAATACTTTCCTTTACTTTTTTATATTATATCTGGATCTATCCTACCTAGGTTAGTTATATAGGTATAGGTAATAGGAGTTTCGCGGTTCTTTTTATAGTTAGCGTATTAGTTAAAGTTATTCTTATAAGAAGGGTTTTAGTTTCCTCTTTCTTATTTCTTTTCTTAGCGTCGCGTATACTATCTATTATCGATTTATACTACTATAGTAATATAGTCTAAGAGGTTATTAAGTCGATTTTCCTTATAAAGCTCGTCCTTAACTTCTTCTTTAAGCCTATCGTAGAATTATAATATAAAGGGTTCGTCGTCCTAATTAAGCTTTAAGGTAACTTAATAGAACTTCTGTCACACATAGGATATCAGCCTCCAACAGTCTGACCCCCTATTCGCACAGTCCGTTTCCACATTTCCCCACAGAAACTTCTAGGAGGCATCATCAACGCATCAGTGGCTTCCAGATGATCTGATCAGATGCTTCCATTCACTACCATTCCCTTCCATTCTCATATTCAGGCAGTCTATAAAGATCTCGCCTCTTTCCCACCTTAGATAGCAGAATCAAGAGTCTTCCAGTCCCTGATCTTTATGCCCACTTGCTCATCCTCCGTGCGATAGTTATGAGCCCGGTCTGCCATTGACTGGGTATCTTATTCTCGTTCATTCCGCTGCGCAGAATAGCTTCCACAATGAGCTCAGCTCTAGATCTTGATGGCTCTTCCAAGGGCACCGTGCTCAACGGCCCTTGCGACTGGAAACAATGGATTTCTATCATCAAGAAATTCGCCACGTCCCACAGTCTTTGGGACTTTCTGGACCCTGCCGTCAAGGAGGGTAAGCCGGTTCTTCAGCAGCCAGTTGAACCAACATTCCGACAAATCAACCACGAAGCATCTGATCTCGTGGATCTGACCTCGGAGGAATTTCGCCGTCTCGAATTCCTCCACACCCAATACCGCTCGAAGCTTCAAGGGTATAGGGATCAAGTGAAGGCACTCGCCAGCCTTCAACAACACATCGTCAAGACCATCGGCAACTACTACAGCACCATTGCCGAGGAACACGACGTTGCAAAGCAACTTGCCTTGCTTCAGGCTCGTGTGGCCCCAACCGACTGGGCACTCGAGAGGGAAGTTGTTCAGCGTTATCGTTCCACCCTTCAGTCGCCAAACAGGACCAAGATCGAAGCTTGGGTCACCCAATGGCAGAAAGTCCTCACTGAGGCAAAGCAATTAGGGCTTCCTGATGTCCAGGACCTTCGCCCTACCAAGATTTCCTACAGGCTGTTTCGTCCATCAACGCCCCATTCACAGACTATTGGGTCAACAAAATGGAAGACGAGGCCGTATTCGGCAAGCCTGATTGGAAGACGGACTTCCCGGACGGCATTAAGATCAGTGAGATCTTTGAACGAGCTCACCGAATCAAGGCCGCCAACAACAGCAAAGGATCATTCGGAGCTGCCTTCCAAGGCAAGGGAGAGAAATCGGAGAGGAAAGAGGACAAGCCTAAGTGGTCTTCAAGCAAGAACGCTGATGGTGTTCCTATGTGTGTCTGCGGAGAATATCACCGCTTCGTAGATTGCTTCTATCTCATCAAATCAGCTCGGCCTGATGGCTGGACTCCTGATCAGAAGGTTGAGAAGAAGATCAAGGAAATCCTCGACTCAATCCATGGGCAAAGAAGATGACGGAGAAAGCACAAGACTTCAAGAAGAAGGAAATGGAGAAATCGTCCGACTCCTCCGTTAAAGGCACAGCGTTTGCCGGTCTTCTACCAGCTCCTGACAACACACCGCCTCCTCAACACCTCCATCAACCAGTTTCTCGACGGGAAAGGCAGTCTACCCGCTGTATGACTCCTTTATCCTTGATTCCGGATCAGACACACACATTTGCAACAACCGATCCGTTTTCTTGACTACACCGCCCTTGCAGAGCCAAAAGAGCTCTTTGCAGGCGATAGTCAACTTCAGATCCTTGGCTACGGCACAGTCCGTATGAAGCTTGAAGAAGGAGGACTTTTTCAGCTCAACGAAGTTGCCTTCGTGCCAAAATTCCACACCAACATCGCATCCTCGACCGCTTTCTTGGGAAGGGATACAACTGGAATCCACTATCTGGACGCGTCTCTAAAGACGATCAGATTATATTTCATACGAAACGCCGCTTTCGTCAACCGGTCATCGAGTTCAACCCGATTAAGGAGGACTCACGCCTCCAACTTCACATCTTCATCTGCACCTCGCGCAGTGAAAACAGCAGATGCTACGCTTTGGCATAAGCGCCTAGGCCACTTGAACGCTCAAGCCCTAGAGCGTCTTGTTGAGAACACGACGGGTTCGAAGATCAAAGGCCCAGTTACCATCGATTGCACCGCGTGTTCCCTTGGGAAGGGAAAGAAGGTCGTCTCTCGCCGAACCCTCAAAACCGAGCCCCAGACCATTCTGGAGAATCTACGTTGATATCTTCAGTATGAACACCTCATTCAACGGCAAGGAAGCTGTTCTTCTTATCAAAGATGAATTTACAAGCATGATCTTCATCTACCTTCTGAATGACGCGACACAAGGGTCCGTTATGACTGCTTTGAGAAACCATGAGGCAATGATTCAACGCCAATGGAATCTCAATATTTGCATTATCCACCGTGATAACGATCGTTCTCTTCAGAGTGCGTATGAGAGCTGGATCGAGGAAAAGGGTATTCAAGATTAGCCTACAGCCCCTTATACTCCTGCTCAGAACGGCGCTGCAGAACGATCTGGGGGGGTAATATCTGCCCAGGCCAGAACAATGGGAATTGATGCCAATTTACCATCTGATCTTTGGCCAGAGACTTGGAAAGCAGCAGTGTTTTTGCACAACAGATCGCCCATGCAGAACCACAGCTTCCGAACGCCTTTCCAGCTGCTTCATCAGTGGCTGCGAGACAACAACAGAGACATAGGCTACCAGCAAGACCAGCCTGACATCACGTTTCTCAAGGCATACGGCTGCAGAGCCTATCCTTGACACCCCAGGCCCTTCAGAACAGACAGAAGAAGGACCTAAAGACCGACCCTCACACAGAAATCGGTTATCTCGTTGGATATGATTCCACGAACATTTTCAGGATCTGGATTCCGTCCACATCAGAAGTCCGAAGGGTCCGAGATGTGACCTTCAATGAAAGCATCTTCTATGACGGAAATGATCAGCCACCAGAACCTATCCCACAGCGCGTGGAAGTACAGCTTCCAGCCCACATCGAGGACGAGTCGGATTACGAGGAAATCCCCACTCAAATCGATGAACCTGAACCTGACCCCGTTGAGCAATCTCCTCAACCTCAGACCAAGGAGACGCCACCACGATTGTGGTACAACCCGAACCATCTGATCATGAGGACTCGGATGATCAGGATGAGTTTCATGACATTCAGCACCCATATCCGACACCGGACCCCGGTCCGAGTGACTCTCAGCCACGGCGCTCAGCCCGCACTCCAAAGCCTCGCAAGCTCAGTGCTTTTTCGACCAACACTAAGGGTCAATTCCACAGCTCTTTCTTTCTCGGCAGAGAAGAAAACTTCACAGACGACACCTTCCTCCCGAACCTACGACGTATAAGGAACTTCGCACCCACAGATTTGGTCCTCAGTTCAGAGAAGGAGCCCACGCCGAGTGGAAAGCACTCCAACAGAGAGGAACCTTCAGAGCGGTCCCCAGAGACCAGGTCACGGGCAAGCTTTGCCACTTACCTGGGTCTTTAAGTATAAGTTCGACAAGCATGGCTTTCTTACAAAGTTCAAAGCCCGTCTTTGTGTTCGAGGAGATCTTCAACAGCTAGGTGACAAGGACACCTATGCAGCAACCCTTGCAGGACGTTCTTTCCGGATTCTCATGGCCATCACCGCCAAATTCGACCTTGAGACCCGACAGCTCGACGCAGTTAATGCCTTCACAAACGCCCTCTTAGAAGACGAGGAGGAGGTCTATGTAGCCTTCCCAGACGGATACTACAGACAGGGATGGGCTCTTCGCCTCATGCGAGCCCTCTATGGCCTCCGACGGTCCCCTCTTCTTTGGCAGAAGGAACTCACTGCTGCATTCAGAGAGCTTGGTCTTACACAGTGTCCCGACGAACCCTGCATCTTCCAGAACGACTGGCTCACTGTTTTCTTCTTCGTTGACGATATTGTTTTCCTCTATCGCAAGGAAAACGAGGACGCAGCTGATGAGATGGTTGCAGCCCTCAAGAGGAAGTACGCGATGACAGACCAAGGGAATTACAATGGTTCCTTGGTATCAGACTCTACGTTGCTAGGGATCTAGTTTCTTTCTTCAGTTTGCACTGCCCACTAGCCAGCACAACCTGGGGTATGTCACACATAGGATATCAGCCTCCAACAGTCTGACCCCTATTCGCACAGTCCGTTTCCACATTTCCCACAGAAACTTCTAGGAGGCATCATCAACGCATCAGTGGCTTCCAGATGATCTGATCAGATGCTTCCATTCACTACCATTCCCTTCCATTCTCATATTCAGGCAGTCTATAAAGATCTCGCCTCTTTCCCACCTTAGATAGCAGAATCAAGAGTCTTCCAGTCCCTGATCTTTATGCCCACTTGCTCATCCTCCGTGCGAGAACTTCGTAGTATAATCCGATACTAAGATCCTTTATTAGAGTTCTTAAAGTTTCTATTTAGCTTCTTATTCCTTATTAGTTATTTTAAATACCTTTATAATAGCTTCTTTAAATCCTTAGAAACTAGTAAAGACTTTATCTATCTTATTATCTTATTGCGTTAGTTAGTTATTAAGAAAGTCCCTTATAATAGGTCTAAAGTAAGTGCTATTTTAAATAAATAATTTCTTATATAGAGTACCTTTTCGACTAAGTCTAAGAGTTTAATAAGGTAAAACCGGTAGTAGGCTTTAAGTTAAGTAAGAAAGTCTTAAAGCGTGCTATAAGTACCGTCGAATAGTCCTAGCTATTTTAGTTTAACTACTTCTTTATAGTCCCTAACTTATCCGTTACCACCTCTATTCTTAAGTAACTATACCTTATATTAAAGGGTAATAATCTCGCGTATTATATCCTATAAGGAACGGTGTTCCTACTATAAATAAAGCAGCTATAATATACTCTCCTAATTATATAAGCTAATAAGTAGTATATTAATTATAGATAAAATCTTATATTATAAAGTAAGAATCGCTCGTTATTTTATATGTTATTATATATTAAACGGGTTGCCGGTTATCGTATAATCGGGAATCGAAGAAATAGAGCTAGCTTAGAATACTAGCTAAGACCTCTTAAGAATACTAGTATAACTAACCTCCTTTAAACACGAATATTAATAGAACTAAGACACTTCCTAATATACTTAAGGTATTACTAAATTCCTTAGTTTTAGGACTATATAGCAGCCTAAATTTAGTCCCGAAAGGTTCTTCCGTTTAGCTATAATTATCTATATAAGATAGTATGTCCGCTAGTAGATAAAGAGAGGATTATTAACTTTAACACCTCTTCTATATACTAATATATTACTAATATATTCTATTAAAAATCCTACCTTATACTCCTTCTTCCCCTCTATTACGTAGTCTTATATAATTCCTTAATTTCCTAAAATTCCGCTTTTACTTATATACCTTAAGATATCTTAAGGCGATATAATAGCTCTAGAGTTAGTTAATCTAGTTTACTATATAGGTATATTAATAGTTATAATATTATTTAAAGTAACGCGGTATTATACTAAATAAGAGCTTTTAATATATAACGACTAGTATTATTCCTAAGGGATAAACCTATCGAGGGGTTTATATTAGTAGATATAATAGGGTATAGTCTAAGTAATAATAAGTATATTATATTAGTAATAAGTTAGAGGTTATAGACTATAGACTATAACTAGGTAATTAGAATTAGAGATAGAATTATAATAAAGATCTATATTAAAAGCTAGAGAGCTATCTATCTAAAGGAGTAAAAGTAGGTAGCTATATATACCTATAGAGACTATCCTTAGATTACGGTCCTAGCTATAATCCCCTTCGTAGCTTACTATAGCTTACTTATAAGTTATACTCTTAAGTAGTAATCTATCTATATAAGGCTTACTTAGCTTATATACGCTCTAGGTAAGCTAAGCTTAAGTAACTTCTTATCCCGACTATTATTCCGAGCCGCCTTATTACGTAAACGTAGCCGGCTCTCCTACGGCCCGCTAACTATAGTTATAATAGTAGGTAGGGTAGCGGGTAAGGTAAGGGCGTAATCGATAAAGTTATTAATCTTAATAAAAAAGTAAAATAAAGTAAAGGAGGATATATTAAATTATTTAAATAACTAGTAAGGGTATAGGTTAGCTTATATATAGGCTATAGTATATAGCTAGGCGCTAAGAGACTTATAGTTATAGTTATAGCTACTACTATTAATACTAATAATAATAGTATAGTTAAAAGGAAAAAGTAATAAGGGCGTACTAGTAAGTTATTTACCTCTTAGCCGCGCGCTAAGTTATAAGATTAACGTTATAAGGGACCGCTTATAGATAGAAGGGCGAGGACCTTATATAAAGGTATTTACCCTTAGTATAGGTCTAAGCGTTAGCTTAAACCTTAGCCGATAGCGTTATAAGGTAAGGTAAGCTATATATATAAATATATATTTATTAGTAATAGGTATA